GAGAACAAAGACTTTGTATCCTCAGAGGATCAGATTTTTTGTTTTCAGTGGAAGTCTGTGATTGTACTTTTATTAATAATAAATGGCCATTTTAAATACAACTTAAAATGGACATCTGTGAAAAATAGATGTATAAATTCATTAGGGCTTTTTGTATTTGAATACTTGTCAAATATTGGTGCTGGGAGAAGTTAGGTGTCTTGGGCTACTTTTAGTCACTGAGGTGGGGAAAAGTGTGATTTTTTTTTTTTCTTTTTTTTTTTCTCCCCCCCACCCCCTGACATCTTAAAGGTCCTGTTGACATTTGCCACCTTTAAATCTCCTCAGTTATCTTCCTCATTCTCCACTGACTATGAAGAAAGACTGGTCATTCTAGTTGGTTTGGAGGTCACTCGACTATTTCCTAGCATAGCAGAAAATATGAATTAAAACTAAAAAGTAACAATTATTAATTCAATGCCAGCATGCAGGAGATCCTTTCCATTTTGAACTCTTTCTGGTCACAGTTAACCCTGGCTCCAGCACCCACCCTGGGGAGGGAAGTCAGGGGTGCGACGGAGGGGGAAAAATGGTGGAGGAGGTACCAGGACAGCACAGCCTTGGTAGGGGCGCAGCCAGCAAAGGCAGACAGTCTCTGACGGGCATTTCACTGTAAGAAGGACAGGACAGTTTCCTTCGAGTGCTCTGATGTTGGTCTAGTCAACCAAGGAACAAGTGACAGGACAAGAGGAAATGGCCTCAAGTTGCTCCAAGGGCAGTCGAGATTGCATATGAGGAAGAATTTCTTTCCTGAAAGGGTTCTCAGGCATTGGAAGGGGTTGCCCAGGGCAGTGGTGGAGTCCCCATCCTGGAGTCGTGTAGACATAGTGCTGAGGGACATGGGTTAGTCAGGGAGTTGTTAGTGTGAGGTTGATGATTGGACTCGATGATCTTAAAGGTCTTTTCTGATCCAGGCAATTCTGTGTGATTCTGTGATGCTTTTGAGGTCAGCAATACACACCCAGCTAGGGCTAGTGAAGCCATTTCCTCCTGAGGAGGGAAGCAGTGGCTCTTGACTAGAGTGAGGTTACAGGTGGTGATGGGCGGAGAAGACAGGGCAGCTTAATTAGAAAGGGATTCAGAAAGTAATTTATTACAGGTCTGCTGTATTAAGAAATTAATAAAAGAGGGAATAAAAGTGAAACATACCCCATGGAGTGTGGTTTGTGAAGTAATGAATGACAGGCAAGAACTTGTGTGAAGATGTCCAGTGGAGGAGGTGGCACACAAGAAATCCAGTCTGTCTTCCCATTTGGTGGTGATACAACTTAAATAAGCCCCTAGTCTAATTACTGTTAGTTCTAGCTGTTCGTTCTTGCATGTCTTGCAGCACTGAGAATTTGTACCACTTGACAGTAAGGAGGAAGGATGGACTGAAAAAGAGAATCTGTTTCATAGGATTTGTTGTTGTTGTTGTTTTTTGGGGTTTTGGGGGGGTTTTTTTTGAAAGGAGTTTGATGGAGAATGCTGGGATATCTCCGGCACAAATCAGGGGTAGGGGATCTGGTCTGCTGAAGTTAGTACTCAAACCACAGAAACAGTCATGGAACCTCAACCTTAAAGGCAGGTGCAAAATGCTTCGTAAAAGTTTGCACTGTCTGTGGTTTGCACTTGTTGAATCATGTCTGCTTGGATTTCATTTGGTTAGCTATGGAGTCCTGGACCATGGTGAGCCCTTCAAGTATTTTCCATGAGTTTTGTGTTTTGTTTTGGGTTTTTTTGTTGTTTTTTTTTTTTAAGAAATTGAATTCAAAATTACACTGTCTGCTTCCAATACCTACAAGAAAAGTAAATCTAACTGAATTGCAACTTACCAGCAAAAATGAAAGAACAATGTTTCCAGTGAACTAGAAAGCAATGGAATTTTGCTTATAAATAAAGGGAACTTAAATGCATTTGTTTCTTCCCCTGTAGAATATGAAAGTCCTGTAGACCAGAGTATCCCTTCACCTGCATCTGTGCATTTCCAATATATATATATATATTTAGGCATAACATCCTTGATAGTTTACAGAGGAGAATTTGGTGCACTGGTAGAAACTGAATTTCAGGTTACTGGCTTATTTAGAATATGCATCTCTGAACTAAGAGTAAAGTTTCAGTTAGAAAATATTCATTTGTATGTGTCTATTTTAAGTAGAATGGCCCCTTCTTTAAGGAATATAGCTGTAATACAGCCACATAAGCACAGCCTGCACAGGTTATGTTACATCCAGCTTGGGCCAGGCTAAATGACAGGTATAAATCAGTGCTTCCAGTGTAGTTTGAACTTTGCTTTCTCTGTAGCTGACAAAGATTTCCTTTAAAAGAAAGCTCCAGGGATGGAAATAATTTTCTAACTTAAAGTACCATGCCATCTGTTTCTGTTTTCTGTTGCTGGTATCACTGCATTTTGGGGCTGTAAGTGGACCAGTATAGAGTCTGGGTCCTGTCCCATCGCCCACTCCAGAAAAAAGTAATTTCAAATAAAATGTCAAGAATTAGGGGAGAGGAGGAGGTACGTATTGCTCTCCTGGTAGTTTAAATGTTGCCTTTCTGTAGGATGGAAGTCATGAGCCTGCTTTCCCCTTATGAACTGTAGGCAGAGCTGGCCCCTCATGAGATGCTTTAAGCACAGATGGGTTTAAGAACTGGATGTTGCCTGACATTTAACGCATCTGAGTTGCTCCTCATGCTGTGAAAATATACCATGCTGTTGTGTGTACCGAGAGTTCTAAGTTCTTAATACACGGTGGTATTTTGAAATTCAAAGACTTCTTAAAGCTCAGGGGTTTGACATTGTGATAAGCTGATATTGAAGGAATAAGGCTCTTCAAAATTTCTTAAAAAAAAAAAAAAAAAAAAAGCTAAGAAAATTATAAAGATTTTTATTTTTACATTCCATAGTACCTCCTGGGTCTGCAGCAGCAGGTAGCTAGCAGGCTACCTTTAAAGCTGTACTTCCATCAATTGCTGATTTTAGTGCACAAAGATGGACTGTTTTGGTAAGACAAGGCTCCATTGAAGTTATTGCTAATAAGCAAACCAGCTCTGTTCACTTCAGTCCCATTCAAAACACAGGAAAAGGATCAATCTTTGCCAAACTTGAAAGGCTGAAACTATTACAGAGGATAAAAAAAATTATTTCAAGTGGGTGTAAAACATATTTTCAAAATAAACACTGAAACCACATTTGACTTTTACCACATATATTAATCATATTCTGTGTGGGCATGAAATATAGAAAGTGTTCAGCTTTGTATTCCTTCCTCTTATTAATGCAGGTTTGTTCTAACTTGTATTTATTATAAGCAGTGTTTCTTTAGTGGCAGCTTAGATGCCAGGTACAATGTACCTTCTCACTTGTGAAGTGTTGCTTCATTGTAGCTTAGTTTACTCTCAGCAAAAGGGCTTGCCTTTTTCAGTATTTCCCTAATTTAAAAAAAAAACCCAAGCAAACAAACCCAAAACCAGAACAAGAAACCATCCCAAACCAAAACAAAAACAAAAAAAAAGCCAAAGAAAAACAAACCACAACACAAACCCCTGAAGTAGTTGTAGATGGGATTCATTTGACTATTTGACTAGATGATCTCCAGAGGTCCCTTCCAACCCCTACCATTCTGTGAATCTGTGATTTGGTTTTAAATTGTTATACCTGCAGTTCTTTAGACAGAAGCTTATACCAATCCTTGCAGTAGTGAAATAGCTTTTTATATTTCTGTAGCAAATTGTTTTCCTAGTTTAGTGTGTTTGAGTGCTCTAGTGCTGGATGGATCATCTTCTGCTTTTTAAGCATAGCTTTATGATGTCCTGGGTGATTCTGCTGAGAAGAGTCACTCTAGTGGTGTCATATGCTTGAGTTCAATTTTCACATGCTGCTACAGATGAATTAGTGTCCTACAGGTATAAAAAGTGGACATTCCCCAGCAGGTAGTTTGTAGGGTTTTGTTTTGCCTTTTTCTCCAATACCTTTGAGTACATACTCCTCCTGTACTCACACTGGTCCATGTAAAATCCAGGCTATTGGAGCCTAGCCTTGTTTGCATGTGGTAGAGCTGTGCTCACTTTTTAGAGCTGGAGATGAAATTTGGGAAAATTTGGGAAAAAGTGGTTGCATTGCTGGGGGAGCCGCCTCTCCTCTGTACCGCAGGCAGCTCTGCCCGCACCCTGAGCTGAGGCTGTGCAGGCATCGCGGCTGCAGTTGCTCACCAAGGTCTTCTCTGCCGTGCTCTGGTCTGGGGCGTGCTGCCGCCATACCCCCCTGCTTTCCTCTCTCTGACATAGACTTAACTCTTTGCCTCTGCTTAGGTTTGGCAACGTTGCTGAGAGAAAAGGTAGTGCGATAGGATTTATTATTTTTTTCATCAGCATGAGCCTTGTGTTTTATCCCATTTTGTTATGACTTTTCTAATCCTCTGGCTCCTGACTAAATTAATTACCATTCAGTTAGAGCCCATATGGCTCCATTGCTGAGGCAGCAATGACAGTTATGTTGGCTTTTGTTTGTGGGGTTTTTTTTCCCCTCTTTTCTTGGCTTAAATACTGCATTAATAGAGTTTCTGATGTGTTATGGTACCACTATGCAGCAGCGAGATCTACATCCAAATCTGAGGTGTTCCAGTCACATTTAGTGTATTGTTTGGCAGATTCCCATAATGGAGCATGTTAAAGAATAAGCAGTCTAGGGAAATCAAACTTGCCAACCCTGAAGCAGTAATTCCTAGAAAGAGATGCTGGTTACACTATTAAACCCCTTTCCCTCTCCATGGAGATAGTCAGTAAGGAAGGAGTTGGGCTGATGGTCAGCTCTGCTTGTACAGTCAACACTCATTCATTCAAGATGACTTGAGGCAGATGCAAACGTGCTGAAGCCGGGTCCTTGCAGACTCTCAGGATCGAGCAGGGTTTATCGACTTGGGCTCAGTGCCAAACAGACACACTCTGCTATTCCCAGCCCAAGTAGGATCTGCTGGGTTGGCATGGAGCGTGAGCAGCTAAAGCCTGCCAAGCGTGAAGGGTGCAGCCCTGGGTCCGGCGCTGTTCTCGGATCCAGGAGCTCTGGAAATGCCTTGTGGGTATCTGACCATATGGATCAGCTTGAGACCATCAGGGCTCATTAGATCAGTAACAGTTTCAGCCCTTGATCTTGTTTCTGTGTGGTCATCTTTTTAGGGGTTTTTTTAAGGGTTTTTTCTTGGGTTTTTAGGGGTTGTTTTTAAACTCTAACTCTTGAGTTCTACGAAAATTTATTAGCTTAATCAGCCGCAGGCTCAGCTGACACTTTCTGCGTATGCAATGCGGCACATAAGGAGCCTCTTGGAAGCAGACTGCAGAGGCACTGAGCTTGCTGAGCAGGAACCAGCTCAAGGCTAGCACTGAGTCAGAGCTACTGGACCCTGATGGATCTTAAATTGACTGTAATTTCTCTGCGCTGTGGTTCCCAGCACGTTTTGCAGTGGAACAGTATACAAATGTTGCCACTACCTGCTTTCTCACAGCCTGCATGAACCATGATAGCAGAGTGCTGACCATTACACATAAAGCATGGAGTGCTGGGTGGGTGCTGCTAGTTAGGACTCGTGTTTTGGTTTTGGAGAGTACATAGACATGATACATATGCTGAGACTATACATTTAATAACTGCAGTTGTCATGAAGGTAATTAGCTTTTCTATTTGGATTTGAAAATATTATCTGGAAAAAATGCAGTATGCTTGGACTAAGTCAAAATATTTTTAATAAGATATGCTTGAAAGTCTGTAGATTGTTACAGTACTTGAAATTAAAATTCCTCATAGAATTCATAAATGCTTGCTTACCTTTTCCAAGCAAAAGGTCATACAGCTCTTCTGGGTTTTTTTCATATACAGGTGCAGCTGGGACAAGCGGATATAAAATGCCCAATCACAGAGTGCAGCGAACACCTGGATGAAACAACTGTCCTCTATAACCTGCCCCACGACGACATCATCAAGTATAAATATTTCCTGGAACTCAGCCGCATTGACTCCAGCACCAAGCCATGCCCTCAGTGCAAGCACTTTACAACCTTCCGGAGGAGAGGCCACATTCCTACCCCTGCCAAATTGGAGAACAAATACAAAGTGAGCATGCTTGCCAGGGCCCTGGGTTAGATGACGCCACAAAAGTAAGACAGCATTTGGTGGGCATTAAATGAGCTTTCTTGCATCACTGGGGCTGTGTGCAGGCTATGATGAGGAGTACAAATACGTAGTACATCATTGATTAACACTTAATTATTTCTAACAGTTCAAGCAGTTGAACTTTAGTCCTTATTTCTTTGGCAGGTGGCATAATTTTGTCCAGACACACAATTTAAAGAGTGTTTTCTCTCTAATATGCAAACAATATGATCATGATCAGAAGAGACTGGGGAAGGGAAGTTATCACTATAACTGAATTTTAGGCACAGAACTCCAGGAAAGATAAGTTTTCCCTGAAACTCTGAGCACGTGAATTCTGGTTATTTAGGCTCTTGGCTTGCTCATTCCTTAGAACTAGAGCTTTTGTCTGTCCCACTTCTTGGTTTTGATTTCTTCAGTCTTTTACTAGAGGTTATACAATGCTCTAGTCTCATCACTCGCAATACAGAAAACTTGAGAAACAGGAAAAAAAACACTTTTTTACAGCATTTATTTTAGTAGAAGGTTTGCTTATACTGTGATTTCAGTCAAAGATAAAAAGCAAGAGATTACAACTAGAAGAAGCTTTGAGCTGCTGAAGATCCATCTCCGTTCTGGAAGATGGAGGTTCTGTCTGCAGCATCATGCTCTGTGTTAGTTTTCCATCCGGTTATTAGACTTGTTGTGGTTAATTTCATGATTGAGCTGGCCTTTCCTGGACAAACCAGTTCCACTCAGCAAGAGTTTAGATGACTGTTTAGATAGCCCTAATTACACAGCGTAAAATTCAGCCCAGTGTGGAGATTAAAAGGTAGAAGGTTGTATATCCAGTGGAGTTGAAACTTTGGTAAAGCTAATGAGTTATGAGCTACTTATGTGTATCTATGCAGTGCATGAATTATATACCAGAATGTCTGTTGGACTCAACATTTTCAGATTTTTGGCATCTTACATGAAGGTGGAGAAATTTGAAACTGCAGGTAAAATTCCTTCCGCCCACAGCCGTTCTCCTTCAGCCATCCGCTCAGCGTTCCCTCTGGTGTAGGCAGGACATGCGGTCCAGGGTAGGTGAGGTGTTGTAACGCTTCTGAAGAAGCCTCTCTTAAGGTGCCAGAGGCTGTTACTGTCCTACCCATGTGGGTCACAGGCAGTGCAGCTGTTTTATCATGGGATGCCAACTCTGAGAATGTTCCTCAAGGCACAAAATGAGTCGTTTTGCCCACCAGTGCTCTTTGATGAGTTAAAATGCTACAGTTAAAATGTTTCCACTGCTTCCCTACAAATCGTGATCAGAAGGAATGGGTGGCTGTGTGAGGCAAGAAAATAGTGCAAGCCAGAAGCAGTTCCCTGGTCCTGTGGTGATGCATTATGTGTAGCTCTGATCTGCAGAGCTCAAGGCTCCTCCTGGGAACAGAGTCTGGCAAAATGTGTCCTTTGTTCTGTGGCCAGGTGTTGCCTGGAAGAATGTCTGGTTGATGCTGGTCAGAAATGTAATTAGGAGAGTGCTAGCAAACAGCATGGGCAATCATAGTCCAGGGCTTCAGCCTAGTCCCTGAGCCTGTGCTGTTTTCTGGCATAGGTGCAGTTTTAGTGACTTAATTTAAGCTTAGCACAAGAAAAGGTTTTGCTGCAGGGATAAGGTTTAAAAGGAAGGCTATATGTACAGTTGTGTATATGTGAGTAATTACATACACATGTAGCTGTGGACCATTATTATCTCAATTTTTTTAGATTCTTATGTGATTATTTGCTCGGTAACTTGACTTTACCTTGAATTATAGGCTCTTTGGAGGTACAGACTAATTTTCTTCTGCATATAGCATAGGAGACATCTGGCTGGAGACTGGGAGACTCGCATATTCACATGCAAGCAATATAAACAGCAATTGCACCAGAGGAATTCTGCACCAGCACTGGAAGTGCTTCCTTCAGAACAGAGTCATGCGTGGGGAAAGTCTACGCACAAGCCTACTAGTAGGATCACTGCACGCGAGGGCTCAGTGCCAGTACCCTCACTCCTATGCAACAGGAAAACACTGTAAAATCCAACAGTACCTTTG